AAACTAAAAATAATAAGTATGATAGATGTTATTTTGACTGTGTGCTGAAGCCTTAGAAAACTAATAGTGGAATAGAGTGGTCCAGTTAATATTTAACCAAACATTATCGTCACTCTTTTGAAAAAACTTCTTAGATTCTTTCTCTCCTCAGTAAATGTGTAACTTAGTTTTGTTTAGACACCAAGGGATTTTCATGTAGAACCAGCATTCTGAGTATCTATTCTTGTTGTATAGACATATGCTTACAAGACTAATCTATGTTCTGTCTTGACCTCACAAGCCAAAGGGGTCTTAATTACGTTTTTTTTTTTATTTGAGGGATACCTTATTATTGATGCTGGAAAGTTTAATTTAAAAACCAAAGACAGATCTATAATTATAAACTATTTCCAAAAACTTATTTGTTTCTAAGCATTCTGGAACTTGAAATATCTCTTCTAGCAAAAAAACAAAAATTAGTTATTAATCATGACTAAGTTATCTGGCTTAGCCAAAAAGCCTATAATAGACATGGAATATACTGGCTAATCTTTAAAAAGAATCACATTAATATTTGCAATGCCATTCATCAAGCTCAAAAACAATACTAAATATGAAAGAATTAAAACTTTAAATATTGGTGTCTGAGGGAAAAAGGTTAGATGGATGCAGGAAAATGAGTTGACAAACCAAAATTTCTGTAAATATTCTGAAATGAATAGTGGACTCCCGTTCTCCATTGTCCAGTCTCTCAATATGGCCACTAAGGATTCTGTTCAGAGTCCTGATCAGGATGTGATGGGGATGGGAGATGACAAAACTTAATTAATCGGACAAGTGAAATAGAAGATAAATAAGAGGGGTGTCAAGAGGGTGACTGAGTCCCTGAGAAAGAGCCCACACGGAGTACCAACAGCTGAGTTATAAATGGTGTGAGAGAAATAATGAAGTATACCTCAAGACAAAAGAAAAGCAATAGAAAGCAAGACTGGAGAAAACACTCACCTACAAGAGTCACCAAGGCTGAATTCAGACTGAGGCAGCAGAATCACCAAAGAAAAGAAGCCTTGGCTTAAGTGAAGGAGATGTATTTTATCTACATAATGGCTTTCTTATACATCCTGATGTGGCCATACTTCTGTTGTGTGTGCCAGAGGGTTCAATGGTTACATTTCTGCTTCTGAATCCAAATTATCATACACTCTGTGTGGGCTCTGCTTAGGCATGCTGGTCTTCATTGGGAACTGTGTTCATTCATGACTTCTTCTATCACCCCACATCCACATAGAACGTTATCCCTATTTTGATCTTACCCCTGAAATGATACCCAAGTGTCATGTGCATTTGGATCCCTAACATTCACAGGACTTTTGAGTCTGTGATTGAGTATTCTGTCTTCCCATCTTACCCTTTCCTGACTCAAACTGTGATTCCATCCAGCTAAAAATGCAGTGTGTTCATTCAACCAACCAAATGCTGAGGGATGTTAGGTATTGTCACAGACCCGCTAGAAACACAGTAGTCTAGCTGGGCTCCTGGAAATTCTCACTGAAATCCTATTAGACTATATGAAATAAATTGCCATAAAGGACAAATTCCAGACTGTTCTGGCTTTGAAGACCATCTGGTCATTTTGAAATAAAATGTTAAATTATGGCTAGACAGGTAATAAATTTACAAATTGAAGAGCATTATCAGTTCCTAACCAGTTTAAGCACAGTTATCTCGAATATCTTAATATAGTTAGTATTCTAGTGATAAGAGGAGAAAGGAAGCTAAGAGAATTAACCTTCACACCCGCATCTCAGTAAAGCAAGGTCAACTTCTGCCTCTTAGAACACTTTGGAAAGGTCAAAGCAGTCTTTAGTGACCATCATTCACACACAAAGCCATTGTCATATAACAGATATATATCTTCATAAGTGTAGAAGACTGTCACAGACATACAAAAGTAATGCTGTAGAAAACCTAACTGAGAAATCTATTGCAATGTACTAGAAATGTACTTGTCCCTTTAAAACTATAATAGAGAAAGATGTTCAAATAAATAAATACTTGAGCCCAATCTGAGAAGTGAAAGCTTCAGCTCAAAACTGGAATTGGAATCAAAGAAAGACAATTCATATTTAACATACTGCTATAGTTTGGATTGTGTCTACCCAAAATTCCATGAGCTTTAAAGTCTTGGTCCTCAAGGCATCATTACTGGGAAGTGGTAGACTTAAGAAGTTCTACCTCAAGAGAGGGTCTTAGGTCATTGAACATGTGCCCTCCAAAGGGACTATGGGATTCAGGGCTTATTCTCTTCTGTTTTGCTGCTCACAGTGTAAATGGCCTTCTTCATCATGTGTTCCCCATGGCTACCATCCAGTGCTCTCAGCAGAAGACCAAAACAATGGGACCCCCCCCATACTATGATCTGAACCAACTTTTTCTCTTTGCAGCTTAACTGCCAACATATTTCATTATAGTGAATAGAAAGGTAGCACATAATTCTTGAAGCACATTCAGAGCAACATAGCTTTTCCCCTCTTGTGTTTCCTTAGTCCAGCTCAGTGCCTAGGCACAAGCATTTCAAGGCCTAAGGCCAAAGTCTAAAGAGCAGAGCTTGCTGGTCTCTCCTGATATCAAACATCCCCCTGGGGCAAGCAAGGTATGGCAGGATCCTCCTTTCTTCCTTTACTGTTACACAATTACATTTTTTAAATTAATATGAGAAAACTATAGAAAAGTACAAAAATTCCATTGCCACTGTTTCATCCTCCCTCTGGAAACAACCCCATGTTTATTCTGCTGGAACTGAGGGGCCTCTCACATCCCAACCCCCGGATGCAATTAGTCCAACCAGATTCTTCAGCTTTGTACAAAGCATGCTAATGCTTAATCTGAAAAAGAAACAAAAGAGATCCTATAATTACAGGTTTTCTCTAGAAGGCATGTCCCAGAGCTCTTTGATGACAGCTGTCAAGTTCCTTTGGGGCACTCTTCATCACTTGGGAAGGAAGGTTATTAAAGTAGGGGAGGGAAAGAAAAATAACAGGCTCCAATTCAGTCCTTAACTAAGAGTTTCAACAACAAAGAGTTTGGTGTTTGTTTATATTTTGATGCCCCTCTGAAATCCATCAGAAGACCTGAGACAAGAATTCTTTCTAATTCAGTATATGTTACAGAAAAAGATCCCACCTGGTGGGATGAAAAATCTTCATGATCTTCTCTACTTGAAAAAGTCCTATGACTTTCATGACAACTGTTCAGAAGTGCATCATTAGAGCCATTTATAATAACAAATGCCACCTGACCAGCTACTGCAGATGTCAAAGAATGAAACCTGTGTTCCAAAGCTGGACATTTGCTAGAATCTATTGTGGATCTCTAAGTAAATGAGTGGGAATATACAAAGCTGGACATTTGCTAGAATCTATTGTGGATCTCTAAGTAAATGAGTGGGAATATATTTTTTTAATTGAATTCAGCAATTAGAAACCATTTCAAGGGGGCTGGAGAGATGGCTTAGCAGTTAAGAGCACTGGCTACTCTTGCAGAGGATTAGGGTTTGGTTCCCAGCATCCAAAGGTCATGATTTTACTTTTCTTTCTTTTTTTAACTGAATTTTGAGAATGATCCAGTGCACCCTTCTGGCCTCCTTGGGCCTTGCATGCACAGTTGCACTTACATACATATAGGCAAAAGTAAAAATTGTTAAAGTAATTTTTAAAAAGATTTAGAGAAAGTAGGTAAAAATGTTTTTATATTGGAATTCCATAAAGACTCAATGTATCATTATTGAATATCTCATAGTATGCTAAGCATGTGAGGATATTGCTACTCAATAAAGTAATTATGTAAAGCCCAAGGTCTTCCATTAGCAACAAAAAAAAAGAAAAGAAAAAAGAAAGAATGACTCATTAGACTCTAATAGCATATAAGTGATACAAGTTACAAAGTCACCTCCTGAGAGGTGAGCAGCCAGTGTGTGGTTTGGGACATCTATCCTTTGAACCTTAGGCATATTTTTAAGAACTAAGGCTATGACACCATCTCTTAAGTCTAGGAATTTCAGTCCTCAAAGTGCTATAATGTCTCCATGGTACCTAAAATATAGTGGAAATGGAAGTGATTACAAAAGGAAGACTTCAAACATCAGAAAGGATGTTTTTCAACAGAAGAGTGTTCAGTCATACTGTGTTGACAATAGACTTTAGAGGAACTATTCACAGAAATCTGTGGTTTCCATATACAATAAAATGATAGCATCTTTTGGTTCTGAATTTACTCCCCCACACGCACGACTCCTTTTCAACCTCACAATAATCCTATGTAATGTGCAAACGAGTTCGGTGTCCCCATTTTAACACAGAAATTGTGCTTGGGAAGAATAATTCAAGTCACCAAGAACTGAGGATGGCCATGAGACCCAGCCTCTCAACAAAGATTCAGAGTAAAAAGCTGCAGTCCTGTTTCCAAAGCAGAGGAACGCCGTGCAGCCTGTGGAAAAAAGAATCCCCAAGGCTGCTTCCCAGTCACATAATGTGAATACAGAGGGAGTTTCTGGGCAGCTGCAAGCAAAACACCAAAGCAGAGCCAAACGAAAAAGTGTTTTCTAAAGTTTCTCATAATACTTAAACGAGCTGCTTTGACTCTTTCCGATGGGAAGGAGTCCATCCACAGTCACCGGTACCTGCACCCTGAGCCAGGTCACTCAGAAAGTTAAACACCGCTGCATTTTCCTAGTCGTGCAGGTAGTTTTTCCCCTCTACGAACCGCTGCGGGGAGAGTATCGTAAGAGGACCATTCTAACTGCCCGCTTGCGGGGTGAGCATCCAGGGAAGACTCGCAGGGCAGGGGGCAGCGATCCCGGTGCAACCCCAGGACGCCCTCAGGTCACCGCGAGCTGGAGCCGGAGCGCGCCGGCGCTGGCCCATTCTGGGCGGCTGGTGCTGACAGCCGGGTGGTGTGTGGAGCTGAGCGCCGCCTCCCTGCCTCCCTCCCCGAGCGTCGGGTGGTGGCGACCGCGGACCTACCAGGGACAGCACTTTGTAGGTGTTGGGGTCCTTAGCCTCGCGGCCTCGCGCCGCCTTCTCCAGCGGCTCCTCCCCCAGGTCCATGGGCGCCAGCAGGGACGTGGAGGCCGGCGGCTCGGGCTCGCGGCCGTTCCCCGCCGGGCCGGCCCGGGCTCCCCGCCCGGTGTCGCCGCGGCTCCCGGCACCCGCGCAGCCGTCGCGCTCCATCGTCCCGCGCTCGGCCCCAGCCGCCGCGCTTTAATAGGCTCGGCGGGGCCCGCCCCCCGCCGCGGGCTCAGACCCTTGGCTCCCGGCCCTCGGCCGGCGCTGGCCCAGCCGCTCTACGCCCAGGATTATTTGGCTTCCTGTCTGATTTCGGGCCCTGGCCGTGCGGGCTATTTTGGGTCCCTGACGTGGGCGTGTCTCCCACTTCCACCCCAAGCCTTCTCCCTGCCCGCGATCCCGGCACCCTGCGTGCGCACCCTTGCAGGAATCGCCCTGCGAGGCCTCGCGGCGCGGGCTGGACTGGAATTGCTGTGTGGTCTGCAGAGGGCATGAGATCATGGGGCCCCGAAATAGAGCGGGAGGAGCAGGAGAGGATGCGGTGGCCCGAGGTCTCTAAGGCGGGAGACTGGCGGCCCCGCCAGACCTGTGCGGTTCTCCGTGGAAATGCAAATGAACGGGTGAAGAGAGCTCTTGCTTTTTCTCCCACGCGCAAACAAGAATTCCCGGCCTAGAGCTGCTTATCTCTAAGAGAGGAAATGCAACTTGAACACATGGATTTACGTGCGTGTGGTTTTGGGGGGTTACTATCGATATATTTACCCACCAGTTATTATAGACTACAGGTGGCTCAAACGCGTCTGTGTTAGACTCCCTGAGGTCAGCACTGTTACTCGGTAAGCAAGAATTCTAACTCTTATAAGCTTTATTTTTGAAGCCAAATGTCACCAGTAAGCTGTATTTTTTGGTGGGTTTTGTTTCCCCTTTGATTCTACAACTTTTACATTTCCTTGCTCAGCAGCAAAAACATACTGCGCAGACTCCCGAGGCAGAAGAAACGCGACTCACGCTAATATCAGCGACGAAGGAAAAGTCATAGAACTCCCAAATAATCGTTTATTCGTTTTAATTACACATTCGTTTGCAAATGCTTTAAAATGAAAATCGATTTTTAGCAGGTATAAATTGAGTTTATCCCCTTTAAAACAGTCAACATTGGACTGGGGAGATCGCTCAGTTAGTAAAGTGCTGGGTGTGCAAGCAATGAGGACTTGAGTTCAAACCCCCAGACCCCAAGTTACTTGTAATCCCAGAGCTGTGGAGGCAGAGACAGGAGGATCTCTAGGGCTGGATGGCCGGCCAGCCTCTCCTACTTTGTAAATTCCAGGACAGTCAAGGGACTGTGTCTCGAAATAATAAGTTGAATGGTCCTCCGGAAGAAGGACACCCAAGATGGTTTTCTGACTTCCACAAACATGCACACATGCACACAAACAATAAAAACAGCGTGGTTCCATTTATACTGACTTCATCCATTCATGTATGCATTAATATTTTCAGTAATGAATCTTTCAATATTTTCACTATCATTTCCACCACCAAAAATGAATAAAAATATGTATGTCCCTCAAATATGTATGTCAATCAGGAGAAGAAAACATGATCAGCACATTACCTAAGTTACCTGTACTTAATAGAGCCACACATAGAGTAACTTGACTGTTGGAAGAAGAAAAAGCCACCCCCTCAAAGCATTTTTAATTTATTTTTTATTATTGCCATCTTTAAGTCAGATTACAAACCACTCACCAGAAACAGGATTTTCGCTATTTCATCATCACACATACTTTTACCCCAAACTTGACTCCAAATTTTTCTTTGTTTCCAGAAATAAGATTAAAGGGCAAAGTTTTGCTCCACTGAAACTGCCCAAGTCAAACTCAACAGTCTTTCCAAAATGGCCTTGAACCTGACAAAACAAATGAAATAAGTGTATTGTCTGCAACCCAAAGCAACCAATGACTTTAAAGCTGTCCGCATTGGAAAAGTCAATACAAGTCTGCAAAACCACAATGTCTGAAACATCTAGGGACTGCCAGGAACCATAAATGAATTAGGCAACCCTTACAGACATGACAAAAAGTGAACAAATTGGCCTGTTAATAAAAGATGCTACCCTTATTCAGAAAGATTGTTCACCTAAGACAGAGACAGATTTTTTTTAAGAAACAGGAAATTTACATGTTTTTTTAATTCTCCAAATTGCAAAATATTGTCTAAAAAAAACAAAAAAATGTCTTTAACCACTTTAAAAGCCAAACAAAACGTAATACATCTACAGGGTGGACCTGGGATGCAGGCCACCAGGATGTGGCTTCTGTCCTATGGTGATGCTTTGCCTGCACCAGTTGGGGTTTTTATGGGTAATTACGAAATCCCAATTAAAATTCTAAAATCACAGGTGGAGGGAAGGCTCAGTGGTTACAAGCACATACTGCTCTTGCAGGGCACCCAAGTTCAATTTACAGCGAGCACATCGGGCAGCTCACAGCCACTTGTAACTCCAGCTACTGCAGGATCTGAAGCCTCTTGCTCCCAAGGGCCCCTGCATTCATGTGTACATACCTCCCCCATCCCACCCACACGTGCATACAAACACACATACTTGAAAAAATAAATTAAAAAATAATAAAGTTCTAAAATCAGACGAATAAAAACCAGGTCTGGAATGCCACTCATATTGTTTAGCCATAGACATTGATCTGCCTTTGATGAAGTCTTGCCTCAGTCTTATTCATTCTGGGTGGTCAGAACCACAGTGTCTCATTCCCAAATACAATATAAGGTCATGGGATGAAAAACAACAAAACAGCTTCTCTGGGTATTGTGAAGGTGAAAGATTAGTGTTTCATCTTCAACCCTAAATTATCCTGCTTCAGGGACTGAGAACCCATTGAGCAGCACAGCAAAGACACTTTAAGAATCTAAAAGCTGGGGCTAGAGAGACAGTTCAGTGGTTACAAGCACCAGCTGATCTTACAGAGAACCTGCGTTCTTTTCCCAATACCCACATGGTAGCTAACAACCATCCATTCATAACTCCAGTTCCAGAGGATCCAACTCCCGGCCCTCTTCTGGCCTCTGGACATTGTACACACAGTATAGTAAGGTGCAGGCAAAAACATTCAAACACATAAAATATTTTTTAAAAGAATCTGAAAGATTCCTTGCATTGTACTATAACATAAATATTTAAACATTTCTCTCTTGGTAATTGAATTGGTAGATGTTGACAAGGCCAAAATACCAAACAAAACTAATTTATCTGTATTTAACAGTGTTTTCTCAAGGTTGAGAAAAATCCCTTAGCTTTTCGAAACTGAAATAAGCCATGATCATTTTAGCAGCTGCTGTGCTCTCCGGCTCTCCCCACCTCACCCATATAATACTGCAAACATCTAAGCAACTCTAAAAAGAGAAAGCCACAGAGCGTTTTAATCTGTATGAGGCCCAGAAAAAAAAGAATTCCATGGCTTTTATTTATTTTTAAGATTTTGTGTGACATCCTGATTTTTCTTCTTTTTTGAATAAACACAATTGTCCTCAGGAGAAGACTGGGTAACTTTGACTGGATTATGAGAAGTCTCTGAGCCTTAGTTTCTTCATGTATACGATGATATTAATTCAAAATCTCACTATTGTCTCTTAATGCCAACAAACTTTTACATTTCCCCAACTTTGCCCGAAAATTCCAATGTATTCTTTCCTAGTTAAAGCCCTTAAGAGAGTACAGAACTATTTAATTTTTCATAAATTATCTATGTTTTATGTCTAATCTCCAAGAAGAGAGCTGCAAATGAACTTGCATCCTGGAAGGAGAGGCAGACTCACTCTCCTAGGGTGGACTAGACAGGTTACAGGATCGGTCAGGCAACAAGATGAAGGCAGTGGACAAGAAGTTGTAAGATTCAATGGGAGTGATAGAAACAGTGAATGTGGAAAATGCCTGCCTATCTAATGGGAACTGCTCTGTAATTCTTCACCTTAGCACTCTTTCTTACCACCACCACCTCATCTCCATCCTCCCTTATTACCTCTATTCCAAGCTAGGGTTGCCAAAAAATTGGAATTTAATGGCTTTGTAACATTTATTAATGAATTGTTAATAACATTATTAGCAGTTCTTATTAATATGCAGTTCTTATTAATATGCATATTATAAAATTTACCCACGAGCAACTACTAACACAATTCAGGTTAAAAATCTGTTCATTGTCTCAGGAAGTTTCCTTCTGCACATCTGTAGTCCAAAACCTTCTTCCGGGCTGGAGAGATGATTCAGTGGTTAAGAGCACCCACTGATCTTGCAGAGGGTCTAAGTCTGGTTCCTAGCACCCATGTTGGGTGGATCACAGTCCGGGAGATCTGATGTCTAAGGCAGTAACCTTTAGTTTTTCCTAGAAGTTGCACTAATGTTTCAATGTCTACATTCAGGTCTTGGTTTCTTTATTCTAATCATTTTTCCTAAGTATTTTATATTCTTATGATATTACAAATGGAATTATTTTTAATTGCACATTCAGTAAGCTATAGTTGACTAATGGTCCATTGCAATGTACAATACTACAGTTGGATTCTTTATATTTATTTTGTATTCTGTGACTTATTTATAAGTTCTGTTTTATTCTTTTTTTTTTTTCTCCCAAGTGCTGGAATTAAAGGTGTGGACCACCATACCTGGCTAGTTCTGTTTTATTTGGTTTGGTTTAATAGACTTCTTAGAATTTCCTAAATGTAAGCATCTGTAATTATAAATTTCCCTCTAACATAGAATGCACATATATATATATTATATCCCATATATCATATTATATATGTAGTTCGCAGGTATATGTATATGCAATATTCAGAATATAAATAAGAGAAATCATTGTTATTGAGAATATTGTTCTTTTTTTCTTTTTTTTTTTTTTTTTTTTTTTTTTTTTTAAAAAAGGGCCCCCCTAAAACCCCACCTGCCCTGGAGCTCACTTAGACCGGGCTGGCCTCGAACTCACAGAAATCCACCTGCCTCTGCCTCCCAAGGGCTGGGACTAAATAAAGGCTTGTGCCACCACACCCAGTTATTGTCCATTTTTATATTGGATTTTATGGAGAGAATTTGATAATCTCTTCACACCTCCATAGCTGGAAATCTACCACAGTTCTTTACATATTGACAATCTAAGAATTTCTGTATTTATTTTAATTTTCAAATATTAGAAGCAATATTTAAATATTAAAACATCATGGAAGCCCATAAAGTGTACCTTTGGAAGTGACTGAGCCTGATTTGCAG